TCTGTCCACGCCTACCTGAACACTTATGATTTGAATCTATTTGAAGTCATCATAAGTGCAATCTCTGTCCTCGATTACCTGAACACTTATGATTTGAATCTATCTGAACAGTCATCATAACAGCAGTCTCTCCGTCCACGCTTACCTGAACACTTATGATTTGAATCTATTTGAACAGTCATCAAAGCTGTAACCTACTTTAATGCTGTGAGGTTTAATTTCAAACAAACACATTTTTAGCATGGCGCTGGGGGGCACAGGTAGGTTCTATTTGTAATCTTCCTGTGTCTTGGCATGTGTGGGTTTTCCAGTCTCTACTTTTTTATTGTTTTGTTCTTGTTGTTGTTACAGTTTTGTATTTTAAAAAACAAAAACAAAAATGGAAGCAAACAAATATTAAGATTATCTAGAAATCAAAATGACAAGGGGTGATATAAGAGTGATATCTGCAAATGTTAATGGGATGGGAAATTACAAAAAGAGAAAGAAAATTTTCTATCCAATCAAAAAGCCAATATTGTCATGCTGCAAGAGGTCCACTGTACACACAAAAGTGAATCATTCTGGACAAAACAATTCAAAGGCCACATGCTATTCTCTCACGGCTCAGAAAAAAGCAGAGGGGTAATTACGATTTTCAGAAATGTTGATTATGAGATCAACAAAATTATATCAGATACCAATGGTAGATACCTAATTATTGATACATTATTGAATGGGGTTAATTTTTTGCTTATACAATAGCTACGCTCCAAATGATGAACAGCACTATGTACTTTTTCTGAACCATCTTAAAAATGTTCTAGGAGACAATGTACTAGATGAAAATGCAAATGTCAAATGGGGAGGTGATCATGATGTGGTACTGGATGCAGAAAAAGACAGACAAGGGGGAAATCCCAGAATATGGAAAAATTCATTAAAAAGTATACAAAACATAATGGAAACATTTGGTTTGATTGACATATGGCGGGTGAGGAACCCTAATACTAATTCCTATACCTGGCAGAGGCTCAACCCATCAGTAATACAGAGTAGATTAGACTACTACTTAATAAATAATGACCTTCAAAACTGTATTGACTCAGCATCCATACTTACATGGCCACTCTCTGATCACTTCCCAATAGTACTCACTATCAGGTTCGACAGTGAAGCAAAAGGGCCTTCATATTGGAAACTGAACTGCAGTTTATTGAAAGATGATAAGTACACTGAGTTCATCCGAGACCACTTCCCGGACTGGATGAACGAAGCTAATC